GTGCGAGGATCTGGGTCCTCGGCAGGCCTAAGGGCCCCCTGTTGCATCTGTGCCCGCCCTAAGTGAAGGCGGGCCTAACAAATTACGAGAGGCCCTCGGCTGTCAATTTCGTATTTGGGGTCCAGGCAGCTTCGTCGCGCCAGTTGGTTGAGGAAAACACAGGCCGAGCAGCGAGACTTTCGACGGCCTTGCAGGCCTTTCCAAAATGATGCAGGCCCTGGACGAGAATGGCAGCCTCATACACAGAGAGTTGGGAGGCCCAACCAAATGAGGCCCAGTAGCTGCAAGAGAGGCGCAGCATCCTGGGGCCTACCGGAAGCTTCTGGGCCCAGGCCAGTCGAGTCAGGCTGCCGAATGAGGCAGGCTCTTTCCATATAGGAAAGAGCTCGCTGCCTGGCCAGGCATTCGGGCACTTGCTGGCTGGCGGCAGCGCTGCTGGAGCTTATGCTCGTGTGCTGGCGGCTAGCGCAGGAGCAAGGTGCTGCGCACGTGCGGTCGTGTGTGCAAACAGGGCGCTGCTGAGGGCAGCGCCATAGCCCAGCCTCCATAGCTGGCTGAGGGCTTGGATGTACAGTGAAGCGCAGGGGTGGTCTTCGGGTGTACAAAAAGGAAGACGTGGGGGAGAGACAAGGGAGAGAGAGAAGGATGATGATGATGATGATGTGAGGGCACATACCTGGTATTGGTGATGGTCTGCATGGGCGACATCTTCAAGTACTTCGGAGGCTGCTGACGTCAACAGTTGCATTGTCAATTAGTAGGCTAGTAGTAGCTGTGTAGGGAGTAGGCTGGGCGCCGAGTGCCAAGTAGGGAGATAGGGACTGGATACATATGTTGGTGGTGGCGAGAGCAAGCTCTCATTGACATTGGTTTTCAGTGCTACGATTCTCCATTGGTGTCATATTGGTGCAATGCGCTTTCTGAACACTGTGATACGATCTGGCTTTCAATGTGATTGTCCAATCTGAATATTGTCATCTCGCTATTGCTCATTTTCCTTGCAATTTGGTATCGGAGCTGGTTCGAACTGCGCTCATCGGTTCTTCGCAATAGCTGTTCGGTGCTTCGCACGAGGTGTGGGGCAGTGATAAGGCTTGGGCGATTGGACGTAAGGCGGCCCAGGATCGTGTGGGCGCGCCAGGAAGCTATGTGGTGACATTAGGGGTGTACGCTGGATGATGAGAGCTCGCTGATGTGGCATTTAAGCCGAGGTGGAACTGCATACTGCTGTTGGTTGTGGCGAGGCAAAGACCGGTCATCATAAATGCACATCAGGTTGCCGATGAGAAATCTGTGGTTGGGGGCAGCATTATGAGGTACGTTGCTTCCTTCCTTATCTACCCTCTTCATTGCTTCTTACCGTGAGGAAGTGAGTTATGTCTTGAGAGTCCTCTCGATGTGAGGTGTCGCGAGCGCTTAACCTTGAGAGTCGACATTCTTCCTGGGCAGCAAGCTGGTGGGAGACAGGCGATGCCTCTGAAGGGCCCTGGACAAAGCACTCGGGTCACGGTCACCATGCCAACCCGCTAGGACTAGTACACACATGCTTTGGCGCAAGTCCGTGGTACTGCTGCTGCGCAATAGAGGTCATGCAGGCCATGCCAGCCCTTTGAACAGACGCTTACTAGACCGTCTTTAAATATTTCTGGCTGGGACTCGGTGTTGATTCTGGCTGTGATCGTCGTCCTATCTACGACGTTAAATAATTCCTAAGGAGTTACGGGGGATCTCCTTAAATGCCTCCTGATCAGCCACAGATCAAACCGGGTGTAAGGCTCGTTGCATGCGNCTGATCAGCCACAGATCAAACCGGGTGTAAGGCTCGTTGCATGCGAGGATAAATAATGTGCAGGGGCTGGCAGGTTCGGCGTAGACTTGGGGCACGGGGGTGGGCCGAATTGGACACCTTTAGACACACCGCTCAACCAGATGCCTAGGAACGTCGACACAAAGTGATTACTCAAGAGGGATACAGGGAAAGGGTTGGATTCCGGCAACTGTTCGCCGTGGCATTAATTAGATAAACTGCCATTCAGCATACATCTCTGCAGGGAGCATTATTTTTATTTTTGATTATTTAGTTGTTACGGACTTGACTCACAACTGACAGACAGTTGCAGGTTGAGTAGTATATTCTTTGCTGCATTGCAATTTGTATTAGAGTTGTCTAAAAATAGATTTAATATTCCCTGTAGGATCCGACATTGGTTGACACTTAACCACCTAACTGTTTCTGTCCAGGCCGACCGAAGTTAGATGTGTATCATAATCAGTTGTGTGTCATGCCGAGTTAGGATTCAGTGTGGATTCTAATTTAGATCACACACATTGTAGCTCATGAGTGATGCAAGCACTAGTGAGGAGG